TAGTCCTTTATCTGATATGTAATTTGCAAATATCTTCTCCCATTCTGTCGGTTGTCTTTTGGTTTTGTTGACTGTTTCGTTTGCTTTGCAAAAGCGTTTTATCTTGATGATGTCCCAATAGTTCATTTTTGCCCTTGCTTCCCTTGCTTTTGGCAATGTTTCTAGGAAGAAATTGCTGTGGCTGAGGTTGAAGAGGTTGCTGCCTGTGTTCTCCTTTAGGATTTTGATGGACTCCTGTCTCATATTGAGGTCTTTCAACCATTTGAAGTCTATTATTGTGTGTGGTGTAAGGAAATGGTCCAGTTTCATTCTTCTGCATATGGCTATCCAATTTTCCCAACACCATTTGTTGAAGAGACTGTGTTTTTTCTATTGGACATTCTTTCCTGCTTTGTCAAAGATTAGTTGACCATAGAGTTGAGGGTCCATTTCTGGGCTCTCTCTTCTGTTCCATTGATCTATGTGCCTGTTTTTGTGCCAGTACCATGCTGTCTTGATGATGACAGCTTTGTAATAGAGCTGGAAGTCCGGAATTGTGATGCCGCCAGCTTTGCTTTTCTTTTTCAACATTCCACTGGCTATGAGGGGTCTTTTCTGGTTCTATACAAATTTTAGGATTATTTGTGCCATTTCTTTGAAAAAAGTGGATGGTATTTTGATGGGCATTGCATTGCATGTGTAGATTGCTCTAGGTAGCATTGACATCTTCACAATATTTGTTCTTTCATGAGCATGGAACGTTTTTCCATTTCTTTGTGTCTTCCTCAATTTCTTTCATGAGTATTTTATAGTTTTCTGAGTACAGACTCTTTGCCTCTTTGCTTAGGTTTATTCCTATGTATCTTATGGTTTTGGGTGCAATTGTAAATGGGATCGATTCCTTAATTTCTCTTTCTTCTGTCTTGTTGTGTATAGGAATGCCGCTGACTTCTGTGCATTGATATCCTGCCACTTCACTGAATTCCTGTATGAGTTCTAGCAGTTTTGGGGTGGAGTCTTTGGGGTTTTCCACATAAAGTATCATATCATCTGCGAAGAGTGAGAGTTTGACTTCTTCTTTGCCGATTTGGATGCCTTTTATTTCTTTTTGTTGTCTGATTGCTGTGGCTAGGACTTCCAATACTGTGTTGAATAGCAGTGGTGATAGTGGACATCCCTGCCGCGTTCCTGACCTTAGGGGGAAAGCTCTCAGTTTTTCCCCATTGAGAATGATATTCACTGTAGGTTTTTCATAGATGGCTTTTATGATATTGAGGTATGTACCCTCTTTGCCTATACTCTGAAGCGTTTTGATCAGGAAAGGATGCTGTACTTTGTCAAATGCTTTTTCTGCATCTATTGAGAGGATCATATGATTCTTGTTCTTTCTTTTGTTAATGTATTGTATCACGTTGATTGATATGTGGATGTTGAACCAACCTTGCAGCCCAGGGATAAATCCCACTTGGTTGTGGTGAATAATCCTTTTAATGTACTGTTGGATCCTATTGGCTAGTATTTTGGTGAGAATTTTTGCATCCATGTTCATCAAGGATATTGGTCTGTAATTCTCCTTTTTGATGGGGTCTTTGTCTGGTTTGGGGATCAAGGTAATGGTTGCCTCATAAAACGAGTTTGGAAGTTTTCCTTCCATTTCTATTTTTTGGAACAGTTTCAGAAGAATAGGTATTAATTCTTCTTGAAATGTTTGGTAGAATTCCCCTGGGAAGCCATCTGGCCCTGGGCTCTTGTTTTTTGGGAGATTTTTTATGACTGCTTCAATTTCCTTAGTGGTTATAGGTCTGTTCAGGTTTTCTATTTCTTCCTGGTTCAGTGTTGGTAGTTGATACATCTCTAGGAATGCATCCATTTCTTCCAGATTGTCTAATTTGCTGGCATAGAGTTGCTCATAATATGTTCTTATAATTGTTTGTATTTCTTTGGTGTTGGTTGTGATCTCTCCTCTTTCATTCATGATTTTGTTGATTTGGGTCATTTCTCTTTTCTTTTTGATAAGTTTGGCCAGGGGTTTATCAATCTTGTTAATTCTTCCAAGGAACCAGCTCCTTGTTTCATTTATCTGTTCTACTGTTCTTTTAGTTCTATTTCATTGATTTCTGCTCAGATCTTTATTATTTCTCTTCTGCTGGGTTTAGGCTTTATTTGCTGTTCCTTCTCCAGCTCCTTTAGGTGTAGGGTTAGGTTGTGTATTTGAGACCTTTCTTGTTTCTTGAGAAAGGCTTGTATTGCTATATACTTTCCTCTTAGGACTGCCTTTGCTGCATCCCAGAGATTTTGAACAGTTGTGTTTTCATTTTCATTGGTTTCCATGAATTTTTTAAATTCTTTAATTTCCTGGTTGACCCATTCATTCTTTAGTAGGATGCTCTTTAGCCTCCATGTATTTGAGTTCTTTCCGACTTTCCTCTTGCAATTGAGTTCTAGTTTCAAAGCATTGTGGTCTGAAAATAGGCAGGGAATGATCCCAATCTTTTGGTACCAGTTGAGACCTGATTTATGACCTAGGATGTGATCGATTCTGGAGAATGTCTCATGGGCACTAGAAAAGAATGTGTATTCCGTTGCTTTGGGATGGAATGTTCTGAATATGTCTGTGAAGTCCATTTGGTCCAGTGTGTCATTTAAAGTCTTTATTTCCTTGTTGATCTTTTGCTTAGATGATCTGTCCATTTTAGTGAGGGGGGTGTTAAAGTCCCCCACTATTATTGTATTGTTGTCGATGTGTTTCTTTGCTTTTGTTATTAATTGGCTTATATAATTGGCTGCTCCCATGTTAGGGGCATAGATATTTACAATTATTAGATCTTCTTGTTGGATAGACCCTTTAAGTAGGATATAGTGTCCTTCCTCATCTCTTATTACAGTCTTTGGTTTAAAATCTAATTTGTCTAATACAAGGATTGCCGTCCCAGCTTTCTTTTGGTGTCCATTAGCATGGTAAATGGATTTCCACCCCGTCAGTTTCAATCTGGGGGTGTCTTTGGGTCTAAAATGAGTCTCTTGCAGACAGCATATTGATGGGTTCTTGTTTTTTAATCCAATCTGATAGGCTGTGTCTTTTGATTGGGGCATTTAGCCCATTTACATTCAGGGTAACTATTGAATTTTGTATTGCCTGTAAGGTGACTGTTACTGTATATTGTCTGTGTTCCTTTCTGGTGTATGTTTCTTTTAGGCTCTCTCTTTGCTTAGAGGACCCCTTTCCAGATTTCTTGTAGGGCTGGTTTCATGTTTACAAATTCCTTTAGTTTTTTTTGTCCGGGAAGCTTTTTATCTCTCCTTCAATTTTCAATGACAGCCTAGCTGGATATAGTATTCTTGGCTGCATATTTTTCTCATTTAGTGCTCTGAATATATCCTGCCAGTCCTTTCTGGCCTGCCAGGTCTCTGTGGATAGGTCTGTTGCCAATCTAATGTTTCTACCATTGTAGGTTACAGATCTCTTCTCCCGAGCTGCTTTCAGGATTTTCTCTTTGTCTCTGAGACTCGGAAGTTTTACTATTAGATGTCGGGGTGTTGACCTATTTTTATTGATTGTGAGAGGGGTTCTCTGCTTCCTGGATTTTGATGCCTGTTTCCTTCCCCAAATTAGGGAAGTTCTCTGCTATAATTTGCTCCATTATATCTTCTGCCCCTCTCTCTCTTTCTTCTTCTTCTGGGATCCCAATTATTCTAATGTTGTTTCGTCTTATGGTATCGCTTATCTCTCGAATTCTGCCCACGTGATCCAGTAGTTGTTTATCTCTCTTTTTCTCAGCTTCTTTATTTTCCATTATTTGGTCTTCTATATCACTGATTCTCTCTTTTGCCTCATTTATCCTAGCAGTTAGTGCCCCCATATTTGATTGCACCTCATTAATAGCCTTTTTGATTTCTACTTCGTTAGATTTTAGTTCTTTTACTTCTCCAGAAAGGATTTCTCTAATAACTTCCATGCTTTTTTCAAGCCCAGCTAGTATCTTTAAAGTGATGATTCTGAACTCTGTATAGAGTAGGTCCCTGGCAGTCGGTACTACCTCTTGTTCTTTTTGTTGAGGTGATTTTTTCCATCTTGTCATTTTGTGCAGAGGAGAATAGATTAATGAGAGAACAAAATGCTAGCAGGGTAACAACGTCCCCAGAAAATATACTCTAGACAAATCAGAAAAGACCTGAAGCAGTGGGAAAAGAAAGGGAAAGAGAGAAAAAAGAAAAAGAAAAAAAAAAAAAGAAAAAGAAAAAGATAAAAACAAACAAAAGCAGAACAAAACACAACAAAACAAAAACAGAATGTGATCAAATATGATCAGGCTGGTATATAGATCAGTGCCACACACTAGATTTTGGGTGTATTTTGGTCTGTTAAAAGAAAGTGCCTCCCAAAATTTAAAGAAAGAAAAACTTATATATGTACAAAAATAAGGGTTGATATGATGAAGGGATGGAATATGACTGTAAAGATGGAAAGTATAAAAAATTTTATAAAAGAAATTCATAAGTTGTTTGTAAAAAGAAAGAAGAGGATTTAAAAAAAAAAAAGAAAAAAAAAAGGGAGAGAATGTGATCAGGCAGGGGAGTAGAAAAAAACCCATACACTAGAGATTTAGAGTATATTTTGATCTGTTAGAAGAAACTATCTCAAAATTTTAAAGAGAGAACAACTTATATATATATGCCAAAAATACGAGTAGCTACTATGAAGGGATAGAATATGACTCTAAAAATGAAAAATAATAATATTTTTTAAAAAAGGGATTGATAAGATGTTGGTTGAAAAAGGGAAAAAGAAAAATTCAAAAAAAAAAGAAAAAAAGACAGTTAAAAAAAATAATTAACTTTGAAAGACTAAAGAATCATGGTAAAAAAGCCATGAATTCTATGTGCAGTATTCCCCTAGCGCTGGAGTTCTGCCGTTCTCATTGATCGGTAAACTTGGTCTTGGCCGGCTGTTCTCGCTGATCTTCTGGGGGAGGGGCCTGTTGCCATGGTTCCCAAATGTCTTTGCCAGAGGTGGAATTGCCCCGCCCTTGCCCGGTCTGGGCTAAGTAATCTGCTCGGGTTTGCTCTTGGTAGCTTTTGTTCCCTGCAAGCTTTCTGTACTGCTTTGGAGGCGGAGAGTGAAAATGGCAGCCTCCCAATCTCCACCCCGGAGTAGCCGAGAACTCCGGGCCCCGGTCCTCAGTGTGCCTCCACAGAAAAGCAGTCAGTCACTCCCGTCTCCCCAGTCTCCAGCCGCACTCCGTGCTCACCCGGCCTGTGACTGCACGTTTCTGTCTCTGGCACCCGACCCCCTGTGGAGTCTCCAAACCCAGCAGATCCCTGCGGTGCGCTCCCGCGCAGCTCCTCCTGGGGAAGAAGGTGAGTCTCCCCGGATCTGCTCCTAAGATGTTTTTAAATCAAAGGGGTTGGACCGACATGTTTTACTCTTCAGAGAAATATAGTCAAATTATTTAGCTATTTTAGGCAGAAGGATCTGTTAGTTTAGAGACCTGTAAATTCTAAATTTATTTTTAGGACCTTTGGGAAGAGAATTACCTATAAAAAAGAATCCAAAGTCCTATAATTGCTATTGAACAAACAAAAAAAATCCACCTTCCCCAAACAAAAACAAAAACTAGTTGTAAAATCTGAAGGCATCTTTAATTTTATCTGGTTCATGGGACAGGGTAAAAAATAAAATGAAAATAATACATCAATAAAGTGTTCTAGTCCAGAGGTTGACAGACTGTGGCCTGTAGGCCAAATCCAGGCCACCACCTGTTTTAATATGGCATGTGAGCTAAGATTTTTATATTCTCAGAGTGTTGTAAAAAATATGATAAAGACAAATATGCAACAGAAGCCATGTGTGGTTGCAAAGTCTAAAATACTATCTCTCTCCTTCCAGAAGAATTTGCTGACTCTAATCCAGTCTAAATAAGAAAGGATGTAGAGCTATTCAGTTATCTCTGATCCCAGGTGAACTGCATGTCTGCTCTGAGCCTGCTTTCATATCTGTGACTTTGGGATGATTAAACCTGGCAGTCTCACACATGAAAGTAAATGGGGGGGGGGCGGTTTGAAAACTATCACCTGCAACTAGAGATTAGTTGGTGGTATCATCAACAACTTGTAGCCTCTTTCCATTGACAAATAAGAGTTTTGATGGACTGCTTTTAAATTTGGTGGGGAAAAGACACAGAATTTTATTTTCTAGTGAAATTATTTTAGGGACAGCACTTTTCATCCCATTATTTGCTTTGAGCTCATATTGGACGTCATCCCCAAATTAGACTTCAGTACTTTGGACCAAGTCTGAGCTCTGGCTTCTCTTTGTTTGGCACACAAAGTCTTCCTTCACAGATTGTGCCAGTTATGCCTGGAAAAGTGACTGTGCTTTTGAGTGAAGGAAGGGGAGACTATTTAAGATACTTAAAATCAAACTGGAGATGGGAAGGTGACATGAGGTCCTGGGTGCTGGGATTCACCAAGGTTTAGACACAAGTGGAGTGCCAATGTCTGGAACTAGAGAACAGTGGAGATTAAGATTTATTTCTTCCCGAGAGCTGAGAAAGTTGGGAGCACACTGAGAGCCGAGGCAAATAGAGCTGAGGGAGGGTATCTAGTGGCATGGGGTGAGCAGAATGAGGCAATTCAATTACCAACAAATCAAACTAGTGGAAAGGACCATGATTTAACACTCACACACTCCAGATCTGGGTTACCCATTTTTTTTTTTTAAAGATTTTATTTATTTATTTGACAGAGAGAGACACAGCGAGAGAGGGAACACAAGCAGGAGGAGTAGGAGAGGGAGAAGCAGGCTTCCCGCGGAGCAGGGAGCCCGATGTGGGGCTCAATCCCAGGACCCTGGGATCATGACCTGAGCTGAAGGCAGACACTTAATGACTGAGCCATCCAGGTGCCCCTGGGTTAACCACTTTATGTGCATTATCTCATTTAATCCTCACAACTATGTTGTGAGGTAGACATTATTATGTCCATTTTACAGGTGAAGACATGGAGCAAGGTTTCAGGAACTTAAGTAATTTGTATAAGGTCAAGCTTTACAAGAGAAACCGGGAAGTTCTCAGAAAGAGAAGCAGGCACAGAACAGGCAAGAAAACAGATAACTGGCCGAGGCCCTGAAACCTCAATCTTGATCAGTAAACATCTGGATTTTATCATGTTGGTTACATCTGTCACCCTGGTGATACCTATTTGAAATGAGTTCGACTAAGAATCATGCTGGTGGTGATTACAAACCTGGCTGAGTAGTGAATTTGAGGCAGAGGTTTAGAGAGTTGTGGTTATGTTTTGTTTTTAACCACTCATGTGCAAGTTAGTGTAATGAAAAATAACCACATTTTTCTTTCTTGATTAAAGTAGGTTCTTTACTAGGCATTAGCTTAGTTTACTTGGAAGTGACAAATATTTTTTTTTTTTTCAAATATTTTACTTTTCAGATTGGTGTGAATTTCTCCACAGTCCATAGTAATTCAGGTAATTCAAGAGAGGGCTTGCTGTGCATGGACTCACGGTTAGAGGACCACCCCCATCCCTATTCAGTGATATGTCAGATCTTCATGTCTTAGCAGTTCATAGTGTTGGACATGGAAGAAGATTCAGGGAACATTTAGTCTGATCTCCCTTATTATTCAGAAAAGGAAACGGAGATGCAGAGAGGCCATGTGATTTGCCCAAGGTCACGCAATACATTTGGCAGTGTGGACGGAGCAGTGGCCATGAACTGTGCATCATCATCTGTAGCCCTTGCTGCCTCTAAATGTCCTCCCTGTCTGCAGGAGAAACAGATCTGAGCCCCTGTAACAGCATATTCCTTGAGGAGTCCAACTGGCCCCTTTGTAGCAAAGTGGCTATATGGGTCTTCCCTGGAAAGGCCAGTGGCTCATCCTCACAGGGATAGATGTCTACTCTGGGCATGTGTTTGTTTTCCTTTCTGCAGAATCTCAGCCAGCACCACTATCCTGGGAATCACAGAAAGCTTGACCATCAGATATGGATCTGATTAGGGATCTGACTTTATAGCAAAGGAAGAGGGGGAGTGGGATCAGGACCATAGCTTCCACCGATCTTACCACATTCTACACCATCCATCATTCAGAAGGAGTTAACCTCAGAAAATCCTGGAGTCATTTGAAGGGATGGCTGATGCAGTAGCTTGGAGGTGACCTTGTGAAAGGATGGAGGGCTTTCCTTTAAGATGCAGTACATACATTAAATCAGAGCCCTCTCGAGGACACTGTGTCCCCAATAGGAAAAATACACAAGTCTGGGAACTATGATTAGGTCACTGGGAAATCACTCCTGGTGCTTTTTCCCTGTGGAGATTTTGTGCTTTCTGTCCCTCCCATTCTGGTCTGGAAGGCTTGAAGCTGATAACCTTCTGCCAGAGGCTACAGTCACGTCCTCTTGAAGTCCAAGCTACCTCCGCCACCAAAGCACTTTAGACAGTTTGTCTCCAGGAGTCAGCACGCAAGAAGGAGCCACTGCCCTGGCAGCAGGGGTAGTAGAACTGTTTGCACGATGGGACCAGGGGGAAGTGTGTGTGTCACCTTCTGATCCTCTTTGGCATCTATTGGCATCGCCTTACCCCACTGGAGCTGTGAGCGGGTATGTGTAGCCATCTCCCACCCAGAAGGGTGTGATTTCCCAGAAGAAATGAAAGTTTGTGTCACACTGCCAGATAAACCACCAAGCTCTGCCACAATGATGGTGGAGGGTGAGGGAATTTCTAACAGATGGTGGAGGAGGGAGAGGGTGAGAACTAGCTATTGCCCTGAGACCACTAACCTTGAGTGAGAGATGGTACCCAAGAGCCATGGAAGAGCTTCTCCCAAGCGCATGTACAGATTAAACCTCTGCAGCCCAAGTGGAGTGTGGCGGCCATGAAAATGAATTCTCAGGTTTTCTGCGTCAGGAGCATGATTGACTAACGACCACTGCTGCTGTCCTTCTGGACCCACCACCCTATTCCTGCTGGAGCTTCACTTCTACAGGCTCTTCTCAGCCAGTGACCAGCACGGTGGGGGACTAATGCAGGCCCTTTTCTCTATAGGATATGGGCAACTTTGGCTTGAGTACTTCCCATTGGCCTGACTAAGACTTTCTTGGACTTTCTGGGACTCTCCCTGCTCAATCTCCTCTGACCCCTACTTCACAGGACTCCAACCTGCAACCACAGTCTCAAGGTTCTCCCCTGCCTTCTCTTGCTCCCTTCCCTGCTTCCTTTCCAGGTGCTTCCTCCAACACATCTCCAGCGTATCTAATTCTGTTTTGTTTTCTACCTCTCAGAGGTCCTGAACTAACACAGAGGTGCTCTTGGTGTTTTCACTGAGTCTCCTGTCACTGATGCTGGGTATGGGCTGCCTCCTGACCTGTGTCTTCCTTTCCTCCCTGCTTCCATACAACATTTCTTAGTTGTCCTGACCCAAAGATTGTTCATCATGGAGTGGACATCTCCCAAAGGCCCACTTGTTGCTCCTTTTTTTCTACCACCTGCTCAGATTTTTATGTTTAAAACCTCGAGTGAAAGTCCCTAAACCATCCTCAGTAGACTACCTGCTACCCTCAGTCTCTTTACATGAAGTGCCTACTCTGTGTCATCCTACATCACTGAGGGACATCCTCAAATGTAGTGGCCAGTCCTATTCTGCAGACATGTGCAGATCTGGACTTACCGTGACCTTGTAATGTCCCTCATGAGTCTAGCACTCATTTCAGGGACTCTTTTAATCCCTACAACAGTTCCATGAGGTGTTGGCTCTTGGTATCCTCTTTTTACAGACGGGAAGATAAGGGAAGATCATTTAAATAACTTGCCTAGGAACCTACAATTAGTAAATCCTATGAAAGGATTTGAATCAAGGCAGTAAATGGAAGAGAGAAAGGAATTGATCATTAGAGGAGGAGATTAGGTCAAAAGAAGGCCTCCTTTTGCAGCCACAATTCTGGACCTACTTTCATTTAAAATCTGGAACATGCGTATGTTAGACCAAATGATTTTCTGCTTGCTTGTTCATTTATTTTCTTGCTTGTTTGTGTGCATAATGATAGCAAAAACAAAACAAGGGCGCCTGGGTGGCTCAGTTGGTTAAGCGACTGCCTTCAGCTCAGGTCATGATCCCAGGGTCCTGGGATCGAGTCCCGCATCGGGCTCCCTGCTCAGCGGGGAGTCTGCTTCTCCCTCTCCCACTCCCCCTTCTTGTGTTCCCTCTCTCGCTGTGTCTCTCTCTGTCAAATAAATAAATAAAATCTTTAAAAAACCAAAAAAAGCAAAACAAAACAAACCACGCACAGAGCTGCAGAATTCTCTGTGACTCTTAGTCTTTCTTGCTTTGTCCCCTCTTGGCTCTTCT